GGTGTGGCTCCACCACAGCCAGTGTTCCCTCTCAGCTGAGTTAGTGTGAGCTAGCGCACAGTTTTTTAGCCTCCGGTTGACACATTTTTGTCTTAGCTCGGGAAGGAAGGCTCCAAAGCAAACTAATTCATGCAATAGCCAAATCACTCGCTCACAACTTTAATGCCAGTAGCTTACAAAGTAGAATTTTTGCTCACAAGACTCCACAGCTTAGAGGGAGCATTGCAGGACAGCACTCTTTTTTTTGGGGGGGGGAGTCTTTAAACCCAATGTTACGTTTTAAGGTTTTCAGATTTTTTTGCAGACCTGGGGGGGTCCCCCAAGTTTGAAGAGGTATCTGTTTTGTGTCAGTGTGGCCCTGATATATGGATTCAAGTATTCACAGATTAGACCACACTTTACTACATATTAGTACCTGAGTGTTTCAAAATTTGACTCTTTTTTGCTTCACTGATCATGAAGGGTAATTTGTTTAGTTTTCATTGTGAAGAAAGTGCAGGTCAGAGGGTTTGGTCTGAGGTGAGGTATGATAGTTAGGACTTCCTCACATATTTGCTGCCTTGCATCCATACGGTGGAGAGCAATGAATGTTCACCGAAGTTGCTCTTAGATGTGCGAGCAAAAAAATTAAACTCTGTGAGTTCAGATAAAGAATTTAATGTTACATTTGACAAGTCTTTATTGGCATACGTATACACATACAATGGGAGATCAGATTAGATATAGATCGGAAAATACAAATCCATATAGGGTAAAATTGGAGCTACGGCGCAGAAAAACGGCATGAAAGCAGAAAAACCTAATGGTTACTTATCAGAACGTATAGCCATAGCACTAAGAAGAAACCTTGCTACTATTTCGGTTATTTCCATATCTTGATTATCAAGCAAAAACAGAACCTTAAAATCGTCAGGAATCTCTGAGAATTGAGCTAATATAGGATACAGAAGATGGCACCAGATAAAAGGGACATTGAAGGAGAACATGGGGGACAGTTTCAACACAGTCCTTCTTACAAGGACAACACCTGCTGGAGTAGGGGATTCCCTGGAATCTGCCAGAGAGAAGAGCAGAAGGAAGGACATTAAATCTGTCCAAGGAGATGGCTCTGCGCAAATTTGGAGCGATAAGTTGATAGAAATATACAGCTGGAAGATTTGCATTTGGAACAATCCCTAAATTTAGGGGAGAACAGGTTCTGTTGGCCAAGCTATAGAGAGTTTGCAACTCTGAGCCCAATAAACTAGCTTTTATTTTTTAAAAAGCCTCAGGCTCAGAAAGCAAGGATCGAGATTCTAAGGGTAAATTCAAGGAGCATATTTTGGCTTCGGTGTGAGATAGCCAGCTAGAATTGGCAGATTCAGAAAGTAATTGATACAGATAACTAGAGGGGTCAGAGTTGAAGTGGAGTTGCAGCCAAAATTTAATGGTGTGGATCCATGCCTTAGAAGCCATAAAATTCTGTCCACACTTCAAACATAAAGCAGCCTAATGTGTAAAATGGTTCTCGACATCTAGTTTTCTTTTGCGTTGGAAGGACTGATGGTTTTAGAGCAGACATGTAGCTCCTGTATTTATGTAACAGGGTGTTGTCATCTTTCTTGTGCAACCAAGCAATGTTTATTTTTCCTGCTATAGAGAAGCATTATTTAAAATTGTCTTAATAACTATGAGCCTTTTTTGTGGTAAGCTCTGAGTAAGTATGATTAGGCTGTGAATTTCACCTTGCTCTGATGGGCTCACATCACAATAAATGTGCATAGGATTATAGCCTCAGCCATTAAGTAAGAACGTAGCATATCTACAGAGCAAACTAAACAGAAACTGACATACTTTTGTACTGCTAGGATCATATGGACAGCATGAGGTAAGGTTTTAGATAATGTTCCTAAATTGTTTAAGCACCTGGTCGAGTTACAAAATGTGTTTTAATTGTTATGATAACCAGTTAGTGTGTGCGCTTTGAAGACGGACCCCATCCTGAACACTCTGTGTACGTTAGTTAAGACTAACTACCACCACTAGAGGAAAATCATACCTCTGTGGTCCTGAATTGGTCTTTCCCTGGGATCGACATTCAGAGAAAGATGGGAGAGGAGACCTGCCCACACCCCAAGAAGGGAAGAAGTGGTTCTTTGTCTTTGCAAAACACTACCCCCTCCCTTCTTCCTATACTTAGACAACCAGATGTTGGAAAAATTTAGCCAAAGATGTGCCTGAGACCCTCAGTTTCTAGTTTTTAAAGTTTATTCTGAGCTTTGACAAACAACAGAAAATTAGGGGAGAGGAATACAAATCCAAAAAGAAAATCAGAGTATAGTTTCCACCTAACACAAAGCAAATCATTTGTAGTCTCCATACAAGCATCTCTTGTATGGTGGGTGACTCTTCCTCATATAATTTTAATGGCTTAGTAGGGGAAAAGTGGGTTGAGCTTGACCAGTCAGAAAGTGGGAATTAGTATGCAAATATTACTTCCAAAAATTCTCTACCAGCGATGCTGAGTTCCCAAGATCAGATGAGTTTTTGCTCTCTACATTTTTGTAAAATGATTTTATTAAAAATTTCATTATAAAACACAAAAATATGAACACAGTAATGCAATCCATTATTACATTTAATACAACTACAGAAAGAAACAAAGAAGCATTATAATAACTCAGAATGAATAAGAAAACATTTTCTCTCTTGCCTTATTATTCTAAAACATTATAAATGATCCAACTATGGTCACTTCCACACTGTCATTTTTGTCACTCATTTGTCCCTATTGCTTCAGGGTTTTCCCCCCCCACCAATGAGTTTTGCTTTCTCTAGTAGTCCCAGAGGGAGCAAAGCATACGTGGAAAAGGGGGGGGGGACCCAAAGCAATAGGGACAAAAGAGTGACAAAAATGGCAGTGCGGAAGTGGCCTATCAATAAATTTATCTGAACATTGAAAATTATTTCTCTGGGTCCTTGGATAATACATTAATTTTGTCAATGAGGAAATATTCTGCACATGGTTGAAGCATTCACCTTCAGAGAGAGCTTGTAACTTTTTCCATTTTGCTGTTGTTGCCAATTTAGTGGAAGAAAGTAGGTTCATGTTCTTCCCGGAGATACTCACCAAGAGTATTTGACAACATCTCTAGGTGTTAAATCCTTGGGCACATATTTGGGCAGGATTTGGTTAGTGAAATGAAGTTTTGCTTGGTGAGAATCTCTGTTCTTAACAGGTAAAGAAGGCATGATTTGGTTAGTGAAATGGAGTTTTGCTTGGTGAGAATCTCTGTTCTTAACAGGTAAAGCAGGGAGAACAGGTACTTCTCAGTGACAGACTTGTTCCAAAAACATTTATTTCAAAATGGGAAGCCTGACAGAAATCAATTCATTTCCCTTCAACGAAAAATTCCATTTTGATTATCTTCCTTGTGGTTGTCTATGGTTGTTTTAGTCCCTTGTCTAGGTATTTGTACATCTATCTCTTATTACCTCATTGGACATTTAATACAGATGATAAATGTGCTATAAATACAGAATGAGTTAAAACTATTGTGTAAAAATATAAAGGGGAAATCACACACATGTATTCAATCGGTTTGGGTACAGTCCTTCCAGAACTTCTTGCTGTGAACCCTTTATTGAAATGAACAAATGTGATTGAGAAAAACTGAATTGTGTCAGCTGTGGATTCTTAGGAGGTTTGCTTGTTATTCCAGACTCTCAGACACTCAGAATCTGTCCTTGATTCTAATGAGTGAAATTGGTTGGCTTTGGAACAAGAGGTTGTAAAGCTGCAGAATTCTTAGCTGAAAAGTAAATGAGGGTAGAATCTGCTTAGCTGCAGTATCAGAACTGCACAGAGTGACCATGATTAGAATAATGATATAAATGGTGACAGCAGGCAACGTATCAGTCCCAAATGTCTGGACTGTATCCTAATCATCTAATAAAATGCAGTAGTTAAAAAAACTAGCTTAGGGTAAACATGTAGCTTGAAGAATTTTTCATAACAAATCTGCAATTTGCACATATGCATAATATTTGAGTTTATATCCATTGTGGCTTAAGGCAAAATGGAAAGTAATGAACAGTATTTTACTGTGGTATGGAAAGTGACCTCTTCCTTTGTAAGATACAGAACAAATGAGAATTCTTTAATCAACACATAAGTGTTTGCTGTATTTACTCTGAGCATGATTATCCTTGTGAGGAATAGATTTACTTAAGAAAAATATATCTGGTGATGTTAGAACTTCATATTTATGAGAAATTGTTTTATATGCAATATTGTATTTATTGTCTGATTGTCTTACTGAATTATAGCCATATATACTGTCATTTATTGTCTGTCTCACTGTTTTCTGTTACATTTAGTACACTATAAGAGATTGACATTTTGTTACTTAGTGTATTAAAAGTAAATAAAAAATAATTATATGCCTTCTCCCTACCATCTGTAGGGATATGTACAGAGTTGGGATTAGATGACTGTGATTTAGTCACATTTATTTTTATCTTTACTCAGTCTGTTATATTTACATATGCTGTGTATGCTTTTTATTTTCTTATTAAACTTCTTTTCATTTTTGAGAAAAAAGAAGAAAATTTTATCTGATTTCTATGTTCAAAACAGGTTAAAACAGCCAGTGAAAAAATTATCAGGCATAAACGCATCATCATCATCATCATCATCAATAAAACTAATTCAGAAAGCTTCAGTTCAGTAAAAAACAACAAAGGCCCAAAGAAGCAAAAATCAGCAAAGCTTCACAGGGTTACTTTTTTTAAAAAGGGGTGATAAATGCCTGTTGAAACAACACCACACGTACACACAGTATGTAAACTTCGGGGTAACAAACAACATAAGTTGTAGTGTGGTAACTTAGCAATAGAGCTGTAAGCAGAATTGCCCTTTCTAAATAGACAAGCTGGTAATAAACATGGGTGGGAATATTTTGCTTTTCCTGTATTAACAGATACGGCTTTCTGATATGAGGCTTCCATTTAATTTGCAGGAGTTGCTGGGTGTGTTTTGCCACAGATGAAGATGACAGAACAGCCGAGTGGGTGAGACCGTGCAGGTGCAGAGGCTCTACAAAGTGGGTTCACCAGACTTGTCTGCAGCGATGGGTGGATGAGAAACAGAGAGGGAACAGTACAGCTCGAGTAGCTTGTCCTCAGTGCAATGCAGAATATTTAATAGTATTTCCAAAGCTAGGTAAGGAAAGTAAATTCATTTCAAGAGCATAACTTCTTTTGATATTCATCACCTTTTGTGAAAATTTGCATAATGATGTATTTCACCCTTAGTATAAAATGCAAGAACAATTAGAGAAATATTCTCTGTTAACCGTTAACAGAGCGCAGCACAACTGGGCAAAGGAAACTATAATGCTGCATGGACATGTTCACGCCATCTCCCTCCACTCTTTTGAGGAGGAAGGATTGCACAAATCAGCCCTTCACACATATGGCTTATATATAATGTACAGAGCTTCCACGTTACATTTTACTTTGTATGATAAGAGGTGCTCCTGCTTCTCTGACATACACATTGGAGCCATGTCTTATTGAAGGCGAACTGACTCATTGTATTCCACACAAAAAGTGAAAAACTGCTGAAGAACCAAATGCATGACAGAACTTCTCCACCTCCCCATTCCAGCTGCAACCCACTGAGCCCCCTGGAAAATTGCTCCAGGGGATCAGGGGACCTTCACAAAAAATGAGGGTGCAGTATGGGTTTGTAATGAAAGGGAGGAATTGGCAACGTTCCCTACCACTAATGCAAGTATTGTCTGCTGATATGAGTGCTGTTAACGCTGATGGAAGAATACCTTTGGAACCAACCCAGAATATATAGAACATGAGTACAGCATAGATGATAGTCAACTGTTGATGGTGGCTGTGTGAAATTCACATTAACTTTCATCTAACTGCTAACACTTCCAATTCTGGCTTCGGAAGTGATTTGAATATGTAAAACACAGCTGTGCAGGTGGTGAGGTGAGAGCAAGAGCAAGAGCAAACTGAATCAGAAAAACTGAACCATTACGAAGTCTCACACTGGTTTTAATTTTCCAACCGAGGGCCCAAGACAGTTATGTTGTGACTTGCTGTTTTTATTCAATTTTTTCATCTTTAGAAACCACTTCAGATTGGTAATCTTAGCTGTATGCCAGTCATAAATGACAGAGAGTGTCTGTTCTTTAGATAAGTGTTTAGCCAAATTATGTATATAGAAGAGTCGCCTTCCAGGGAGGTACTCATTATAGTAACTTTGATACTTGCCTTCTTCTTCAGTTTCTTTATAGCTTTTTAACTTGGAACTACCAAGTTCACATCCTTCATTTGAAAATCTTGTTTCTTCTTTATATTATAGGTCCAGTCGTTTACGTCTTGGACCTAGCAGATCGCCTTATCTCAAAAGCCTGTCCGTTTGCTGCAGCCGGAATAATGGTGGGCTCTATCTACTGGACTGCTGTCACTTATGGAGCTGTAACAGTGATGCAGGTTCAGATAAAATTTCTAAATGTTAAATTATTATAATCGAGCTGGAAACTGCTAGAGCTTTGCTGAAGAAACCCTTTTTTTGGTAAGGAAGAGGATTCAGAGAGAGGAGTGGAAAACAATATACTAGGCCTGGCTCCGGATTTTTTCCTTTCTTTAGTAATATTTTTTGTCTTCCCTCAGTCCCTAATTTTAAGTGCACATGTGCTTTCACAGTTTACAACGAATCCTATCCAGAAGAGATACTTGTATTTAACTTCTTTTTTCCACACAGTAGGAAATTAAATGGCTCGCATCTACACACATTTCTATCCATTTTCGTTCCACAGTATCTGGGGAGAACTGTGCAGAAAGTTGTTCACTACATGGAAGAAACTGTTGATATTTGGAAGAGGAGCAAATTCTTCCTCTCCTTGAACTTTTCTCATGTTGCTTTTGAATATGATCTGAGGTTTCTCTTCTGGTTTTTTTTTTTCTCCCTCTGACCATGCATCCCTCATAGCTGTAGTCAACTTCTCCCACTTTGGTTCCATCTCTTCTTTAGGCCATTGGAGCAGCCTGCTAAATGCATTCCTAGCAGAGGGTTCCAATGATGGTAATACAGCGGTCTCTGCATAACTCTTGCTGTTGGTCGCCCTTTGCAAAGGAAAGCCCTCTGCAGCTGCAGAACTGAACTTGTGGGCCCAGTTTACCTTCCCCCCCCCCCCATCTTATAAATGTGGATAGCAGTCTAGATTAGCAAGATTATGGTACTAGGTATGTGTAGTCACACTAGAATACTACAGATTTTCACACCTGCCTATGTGTTCTAGGTTCAAGCAAGATTTTGCTGACCCTGGTGGAGAACAAAAACTTTCAATATTAGTCTGTAGAGATCTGGCTGTCCTTCGCTTTGGAAAACTTTCCAAGGGCCTTGTCTAGGTGATTAAATGATAGTGATTGAAGTAACATTGTCTCCCTATGGTTGGCTAGCTTACCATGAAAGTTTCAAAGGAACTTTTTATGTTATAAGTCTAACATAGCTTTACAAAATAAACCTGCTCATCAGTTGCTTGCTTATAGCCACATTGGGTCAGTCAGTTATGGTAAATGTTTCACCATTTACTATTCAAGTGGCATTTGAAGGGTGCATTTTATAAGCACAAGTTTCAAAACACACTGTGACTTAAATCACATCTTTTAAGGAGTTGCATTGCTGGATCAGGCCAAGAGTCAGTGTAGTCCAACACTTCATTTCTGACTGGGGTAAGCCATATGCTGTTGCACATTCACAGGTAGGTGTGATGCCACAGTATATCTGCTTTTGCCCCCTGCATCCATCTTTTTGAATTCCTTACCTTGGTTCCTTCGATGGCAGACATGTTTCTGAACAGGGCCTGTCTTATGTTCGTCCAAAAGCTGTCTAGAAAGTAGTTTGAAATTATTCAAGTATCTTGCATACCAAAATCCCTTTATGTTAAGGATGGTAGCTATGTGTTCTTGCTCATACCAAACACAGCCTAGCTGTATTATTGTGCCCCTAGGTAGGTTAACTTCTTGGGCTTAATGCAAATCAGCACTTTTTTTAAAGAACAGCTATATGCACTATAGGCGCTGTGGTGGCTCAAGTGGTTAAGACGCTGAACTGCAGGCTGTGGAAGGTCAGTAGTTCAGCAGTTCGAGACCTGAGTTGCCGCATGACAGAGTCAGCTCCTGTCTCTAGTTCCAGCTCCTGCCAACCTAGCAGTTCGAAAGCAAGAAATTGCAAGTAGATAAATAGGTACCACTTCGGTGGGAAGGTAACAGCGTTCCGTGCGCCTTGGTTGTTTAGTCATGCCGGCCACATGACCACGGAAATGTCTTCGGACAGTGCTGGCTCTTTGGCTTTGAAACGGAGATGAGCACCACAACACTAGAGTCAGACTCGACTGGCTTTCGAGCAGGGGAACCTTTACCTTTATCTTATAAGCACTATATATAATGAATGTTGTGTTATATAGCACTTTTGAATGTTGTGCGTAATCCTTATAACAAGGTGCAAACACCTTCAAAGGCAATCAGTGTTATTATTTGCATAATAACTGCTGAGGGGAAATGGTAGATTGCCCAAGGTCACCCATTGGGTTTGCCACAGAGTTTTTGGTTTATAACTCTTAACTGCTATGCTGCACCAGCTCCTTCAGTGTATGAGTTTCCCATTCAGTTCCCTTAGAGGACATTTATTGCTCAAATGAAGGTTGCAATACAGCAGGTGTATCGCATTTCTAGTGTCACTCTTTCTGCATACTGACAGACATGGTGATGTTAAGCCATTGTATCCTCACAGCACCCTGAGAAAGATTAGGCTATGAGACAGTGACTTGCCCAAGATAATCCCATAGTAGCACATCTGATATTTGTTTTATGTTAAAAATGTATATCCCACCTATGTTGGTATTCAAAAACCTTAAAACACCAAAATAAAGCAATATTTGTAAATAAAACCAGAGATTAAACACAATTGCCTCAGAGAGCAACATCCAGAGTTGCATTCAGACAGTCCATTCTAGTAAGCTCAGAGCCTTCATCCAGCAGAAGGAACCTCTTCCTTCCAAGGAAGGCTCCACACTAGTGAAGTGTTAGTCTTCAGTACGCAGTTCTGATGTGCCTCAAAACAGTTGCCACGTGCCATATGTTTGAAGTAGTGGGGCTTGGAAACCTAATCAGAGACTCACTATCTTTTACCCAACTTCCTCATGGAGTGGTCATGCTAATAAAACAGGAATATGGTCCTGGGTGTTGTGAGCTTCATATAGGGATGACACGATACAAACATAAGAAAGGAAATACCTAGTAAGACCTGAGAGGAATGCTGAAAGCAAGCCCTCACCCTTACAATGGACTTCTGATGAACCTCAGTCTAGCTTGCCTTCCTTTTTCTTCTCTACTAGCCTAGGGAAGCACTGTGAGGGAGGAGGTGAGGCAAGGTGGACATGTTTCTGCCAAGTGCTACTTGGGAGTTTTTGGTTATTTAAGGTTGATGTTTATTCATCAGTACCAACACGAGTGATGGATATCAGTGTTAGAAATAGGGTTTCTCTTAGTTTATTTCCCTGGACATTTCATACTTCTTAAGAAATGATACATGTATTGTAAAATGCTACATTTAACACCATGTCAAGATGTTTAGTAGAGCAGAACTAAATTAACATTGAAAAACCACCTTTTCAATCTTTATTTCTTACTGTTTGCAGATTCATCAGCTTCAGATCGGTCTGTATTTTGTAATTTTGAAGATGATTTTCCTGGGTACAATTACAGGATTTTTTCCGTGCTCTGAATGAGCTAGTTAGTTAAATGCAGGATTTACTTTCATTAAGGAACAGAGGATTATTTGGTGACCTGTCTGCACGCTGTATATATTTTTGTTATTTATTTGCCATGTTTTTATCCCACCCTTTCTCCAAGGACCTCAGATGCATAAACAGTGGCTTAATCCTATAAATTATTGCACAAAGTCAGAAAGTCTTAACAGCTCAGAAAACCTTGACTTGGGTTGGTGCAAGAGAGACTGGTGGTGCCACTAGAGTTGTGCAGTACAGTAGCACTTGGGGTCTCTGAAGGAAGAGAGCAGGATCCTGTTTAGTCTCTTTCTGCAGTATCCTGAACTGTTTGTGTCTGTTGAAGCTTTTGTTACATAGTAAAGCGGGGTCCTCAACCTTGTTGAGCCTTTAGGTAGTTTTGGAATGTTAAGAAAGGCCATGGGTGCCACCACAAAATGTCCATGGGATCACAAAATGGCTATGGAGGCTATGGGAGGCAAGACCAATTGCAAAATGGCTACCACTGAGGGCAGTTACAAAAGGATGGAAGGTCTCAAGCCAAGCACCCTCCTATGATGGGGGCAACTATTTCAAAGGGCATTCCTTGCAGACCTAAATGTGATGCCTTCTGGGGTCTTCTGAAGTATCTCCTGCTCCAGTGAGTTGGAGAAAAGCCAGGATTGGCTCTTTGCTCTGGGGAAGAAACAGGTGTGCACCATGAAACATATAGATAGGCATCATGATGTCCACAAGCTTCATGTTGAGGATCACTAACAAAGGAGAGATGGTTGCTAGAATTGGACTGTACTTCAGCTGTGGCACCTAAAACCGATCCATATGCCTGGTGCTACCAGTGAAGTTTCCTTATAGTGTAAGACTATCATTGTTGACTCCCGAGTGAAGGGCAGGGTATAAATCCAACTCTTCTTCTTGTTGTTCTAAAATAATTATTAAGCCAAAGCAAAGTACTTGGAAGCAAAACATTGCCTACCTGACAAATTAGTAAGCCAGCATTAATTATTTTTGTGCCAGTATAGAGTTAGCAGCACTTGTTTTAGTGTTTTGACTGACACTGTTCTAATTGCAAGTGCTTTTAAATGTAAGCTAGGTCTTCATGTATAGTCATGTTGGTCTGTTTACAACATGTGCCACATCAATAATATCTGCAAGTAAAATATCCCAGTAGTATTAAAAAACAACAACCTGTTGTGCTTTTTGCAATGACTCGTCTGGGAAATGGTCTCATCTTGTTATATGTCTAGATGTTTTGCTTAATGCAGTAATATGTCTTTCCTGTTTGTCAGGTTGTGGGTCATAAAGAAGGCCTTGATGTAATGGAAAGAGCCGATCCCTTATTCCTTTTAATTGGTCTTCCGACCATCCCAGTTATGCTTATATTGGGAAAGATGATTCGCTGGGAAGACTATGTGCTTAGACTATGGCGCAAATATTCTAACAAGCTACAGATACTGAACAGCATATTCCCAGGTAATGTCATAGAACTACAGACAGACTATCTGGGGTGGTAAGACAGGTTTTGATATCTAAAATGTAGGCATTTCCCCTTTTGTGTCCCTCTGCTTAAACATAAAGGTGCTGTCCAAGAAAGAGTGAGCCATGTATATTAGAAAGTGCTCCATCTCTTGAATGAGGATTGTCAGAAATATTGCACTGTAAAATTAAATAATAAAAGGGCATTAATCTAAACAGTATAGTCCAGTATGTGAAAGTAGATGTAAATTGCCATAAATGGTTTTCACGGTATTTCTTGCAGAAGGGAGGTTGTATGAACATGCTCAAACCATTAAACTGAAAAACTAATTGGAACCGAAAGGTTAAATTTATAATACCAAGTGCAAGTTAGTGTGCTCTAATTTGACCGAGAAACTAACTGTGATGGCATTTTTCTTCAGGGATTGGATGTCCTGTTCCTCGTATTCCAGCTGAGGCCAACCCTCTGGCAGATCATGTCTCTGCTACTCGCATTCTGTGTGGCGCTCTTGTCTTCCCCACTATCGCTACGATAGTTGGCAAGTTGATGTTTAGCAGTGTTAACTCTAATCTTCAAAGGACAATTTTGGTAAGACCACATAGTGTTTCTTTTCAGCAGTGATGCTTCGGAGATTTTATTTCAGGAGACGTTTAAAAAGTAATACTGTTCATATAGCATTTATGAGGTAGAAACCATTATCATGCTGGTATCCTTACAACATCTCTGTAAAGTATTCTCCCCATTTTAGGGATTTGGGGGGCAAGGGGGTCAGTGGAGGAGGTTGGCTTCAGGCCATCTGTGGCTCAGTCGACCAGATGTCACAGTTTGCTGTGCTGTTGTAGTTACAGTGAAGGTTGGCAATGCTCACAGGGTGTCCATTGTGGGGAGAGGAAGGGAAGGTGATTGTAAGCTGCTACGAGACTCCTTCAGGTAGTGAAGGGCAGGGTATAAAACAAACTCTTCTTCCTCTTCTAATTCCTGTTCTTCTTCCTCTTCCTCTTCCTCTTCTGTATTCCTGGGCAGCTACCCCCCAGGTCTCAGTAACCTGTAGCTTCTCCAAAATGCAGTGACTCCAGGCCTTACTGACGACTTTGTAGCTTCCTGCGGCCTGTGGAAATCAGCTGCTTCCTCCTGTTGGGGCCTTTTATCCCTCTTGTCCTGGCCACTCACAGTTTCTGCCTCCCTTAGCTTACTCTTGAGCAGTGTTCCCTCTAAGCTGAATTAGTGTGAACTAGCTCACAGTTTTTTAGCCTCCGGCTCACACATTTTTGTCTCAGCTCAGAAAGGATGGCTCTAGAGCAAACTAATTTATGCAGTAGCCAAATCGCTCGCTCACAACTATAAAGTCAGTAGCTCACAAAGTAGAACTTTTGCTCACAAGACTCCACAGCTTAGAGGGAACATTGCTCCTGGGGAGACCCTTTGTCCCAGGGAAACCTCCACACCAGAGGAGGCCTTTAGCCCACAGGGAGCTAGTGCTGGCTGTCAGTCACTCTGTCCAGTCCTTAACTGGCACTGCAAACCCACCTTCCTTCTTCCGCCCTGCAGCTGTGCTGCTGCCCCTATTCTGCCATCATCCCTTCTCTTCCCTTTCTCCTTTGGGGCCATGGCACTCTTTTCTGCCCATTCCTGATTCCTCCCTATATTACTATACAGTTTTAATACACTGGCATCATTAAGTGCAGGCTCACATTTCCATGGTTTCTGGTGCTTCTCAGTTTGTATCTCAGACAGATTTCTAGTTTGTCTTGAGACATCCAGGTGGAACGGATATTAGTGGTTTTGAAGGAAATTGGCATTCTCGCTCTAGAAATACATCCCAATTACACTATTGACTTTCAAATTGATTTCTAGTATTTTGAGTCTTTACACCAGATGTGTCCTCAAGGTGGTTGACGACAGTAAGACAAATAAAATCATTAAAACGAATTAGAAATCCAAAAACAAGAATGCTATTAATACAGCAGATACAGAACGCAGTAGCATGCATTAACAGTCGGGGGGGGGATCAGAATAGAAAGCTGACTGACCTCTACCGCTGGCATAGCTCGGACATACACTGGTGTAAAGAGTGTTTACTTCCTACCTTGGGCGGAGTGCCGCTAGTGCCAACCCAGAAGGTGAGGAGCCTAGGAGTGACCTTGGAGGCCTCACTTTCTATGGAGGCCCAGGTCGCTGCAATCGCCAGGTCTGCCTTTTATTGTCTTTGGCAGATCAGGCAGCGGGCTCCCTACCTTTCCCCCCTGGGACTTGGCTACAGTAACCCATGTAGTGGTCACTTCCAGACTCGATTACTGTAACTTGCTCTATATTTATTGCTGTGGCTGCTCTACGGTATGTTTTCCCCGTACACAGCTGCCGATCCAACAGCCATATGCCGGTGGAAATGTGGGCGTGCCCGGGGGCATGGCATCAGCCAGTTCGCTCCCAAAGCATTTTCAGCATGGGAATGACCCTGTAACAGAAAGCTTAATTTCAGAGCAAAGTTTACAAGCATAGGCAGCAGCTTGGAAGGTAGCCTGCAGCTGAGTGGTCACATGACCAGAGAGGCAAAGAGAAAAAGAGTGTGATGTAATGGTTTTGGGATCTTCAGTTTTGAACTGGAGGAAGGAAACAATGGTTGGAAAAGGTGGTTAACAGCTGACTGCTGACTAGAAGAGGAAGGGGAGAAAGGGTGCTCTCGGATGGGAGGGAGAGTTTGGATCCTGTGAGCTGCTGAGGAGTTTAATGATAGAAACTCTTGGTGTATAACTCAGACACACAATAGTGCTCCTCTATAAGAAATCCTGTTGGGTAAGGGTATACAGTTCTAGCTAGGGACCCACTGCAAGTGAAGTAGTTTAGGAAGACGCTAGACTGTGGGAGAGCTTTCAGTAGAACAGAGATATAAAAGATGGAGTGTGCAGGAAGGGTGTGGTCTGGAAGAAAACAAAGACCTAAGAACAATCCAAAGTTAAAAAGAAAAAAAAGGGAGAACAAAAGAAAGCCTGAACAACTGATTGACTCCCTATATATAACCCTGTCTCCCTGTGTTATTTTAAATAAACTTGTATTGGTGTTTAAAGTGGAGGGTGTCATAAACCTCTGTGTCAAAAAGAGGGTGGACTGGCAGTAGAGAGGGGGAAAGTGTGCTGAGAACCTTCTGCTGTTACAGACCACCAGGAAAGGTGCAAAATTGCGCCGGCAAAAATGCCAGGGCAGCCCATTGGCAGCCATGGTAACTCCCAGTTCACTCCCCCCTACTCAGCTGCAGCCACCCCCTCGGGAACCCAAGCAGCTCAGGATACTGGCCAAATGTGCACCCAATCAGCACACACACCCCGCCAGCCCCACCCCTCCATGCCACCCAATGACGATCCACCCTGCCCTACAAATGGTTCCAGGAGGTCACCTCACAACTCCAGAGGTAGGGCAAGCAGCACAGATTGCTGTCTGACAGCTTTCTGCCGTGCAAGACTTAAGAGCTAGTGCACACGAACCTTGGTGGCGGGCAAAACACAGGGCACCTAGCACCACTGGGCGGGCGGGCACCACTGAGAGAGCAAAATGCCTGACCTCTCCCAGGTTTCAGGCTCCACAGGTACAGCAGCACATCTGCCGTGATCCCAAGGGGCGACCATGCACAAACAGGTAAGCAAAGCACCCTTTTCTCATCCCCCATCCCCCCCCCTTCTTCCACTTTGAACTCAGCAGCTGGGGGGAGGAAGGAGCACTCCCCCAGATGCACAACAGGCAGTTCTTTTTGCCAGGGCAGCTGCTGGGGGAGGGGTCTGAAGGTGGCACCACCGCACCAGGCTGCGTGCCCTGCCCATTGGCAGCACTCCCCCTGCACAAAACATGCCGGTGGGTGGGGAGCCCCTCCAACCTGAGTGCCGAGTGATCCCACTTGATGGCCAAATCCTTTCCTTGCAGGTGCAGAATGCCCTGATGATGCTGACAAAGTGCATTTCCAGATACACATGGAGGTTCTGACAGGATGCTGGATCAGGTGTGGATGGTCTGGATTCAGCCACCCATCGGTTCCCCCTTGCAGCATTGGAGTTCCAAATGGGGCGGCTGCAACTGCCAAATGCCCTACAAGCTGCCAGTGAGGAATGCCAGTGGCTGCTCTACTGTATGTTTTCCCCGTACGCAGCTGCCGATCCAACAGAGAGAGGTGTCACCCCATCCGTGAAGCCAGATGTGTACTCTCTCTGCAGCAGAAGCCGGCCCTTGGGAGCACGCAGACACATCCAGCTTCCTGGCCCTTCCCATCGGGAAGGCACCTCTAGCACCAAAGGACTGAGTGGAGTTCCGCACATCAACACCTTGTTCCCAAACTTACCATTCTGTTGTCCCAGGTTCCCTCTAATAAAGCTCATCCATTGTGTGTATCCCAAGTGTTGATGTTTGTTGCGGACTATAGGGGGTGGGAGCGTGTGGGGGGTGCTGCACAAGCTGCACAGTCCTTGCAGATGGAACCATAGTGGGGGGCCCATTCTGACAATAATGCTGCCACAGTGGCAGACTTAGATGAATAGAAGGGAAAAGCTGTGCAGTAGGCCGCCATCCCTCCAGCCAAAAGCACAGACTGCACACCCCAAAACTGCAGGGCCGTGCCATGAACCATGAGGGGACGCCCTGGGGGGAGAATGTCCTGCCTTGGCAGTGAGCACAGATGCGAATGGCGTGGACACTCCCTAATGGACTTCCCCTGGCAGGGGGCCAGTGTGTGCTGAAGATCCATCCAGGAACCATTGTGCAAACGATGCTGTTGGCTTAAGGGACTGCCACTTCTATGCTCCTGTGCAGCGATGGTCCATTTCAGAGGGCAGTCTCCTATGGAGGTTTGCTTGGCCCATCTGGGTCTCAGCTGCCTTGTAGATTTTTTTGTATGCAAATGAGGGGCTCGGACAGCACATAGCTGCTTGCCCTGTCGTGTCACACCCACCTCACAGCAACACCAGAACAGAATGCAGCGGCCAGCAACATTGTTGGGGCGCTTATTCTCCGATTGAGCCACTCTGTAACTATCCTCTTAGGGAGACAAAGGTGCCACAGCTGCATTGTGGCCAGCCGGCCGGCTCAAGATTGCTCTTCCCATAACAGTAGTATTTTTTTTTAAAAAAAGAATGTACTGTCTAGCTCAAAAATATTCTGAAATAAATGCACTTTGCAGGTTTTTTAAATATGCAGTCATAACTTCTAAAAGAATGTGTAAACCAAGCATGGAATATTTTTATGTAAGAGTAACATTCTAATATTGCATTGTGACAAGGAACCATGTGCCTCATTGTTTACACAGAATTCCTCTAATTAGCTTAACTTCGAAGGAAATGCTGCTTGACAATTGTGTGTGCGTGCATGCAATGTAGTTATATATTTTTTAAAATGTTGAGATTGTATTGTAGGTTTGGAATAATTGTTTCACTTTTATTTCAGGGTGGAATTGCTTTTGTTGCTATAAAAGGAGCTTTCAAGGTTTATTTCAAACAGCAGCAATATTTGCGACAAGCGCATCGGAAAATTTTGAACTATCCCGAGCAAGAAGGAGCGTAAAAGTCTGTCGATGTATATGATTTGTACAGTCTCGTCTGCTGTATTTGGCAGCATTATACCAACTCTGTTGCTTGCCTGCAGAAGTGGAGGTTGGACAATATGCTGCTTATGTGTGTTTTGTTTTTGTGTTCGTTTTTTCTACATAGAATAATAAAGGACATGGCCAGGTAAAAACCTCCTTAGTTATTGAGCCTTATGAATGTGATCTGTATTTTCCTTGGTGCATTTTCTTTGTGGCAGAAGACATCCAAAACTTTTTCTGACAGGCAAATGTTGCCTTCTTTCCAGACAAGAGTCAAAACAGTTGTAAAGTTCATAAGTTATGTGCAGACCATATTGCGTTATCTTTTGTATGCTTATTGCAGTAGATGCACGGTACTTTGCTATGTGGGCCAATATCATAGGACTTTTAAAAGTATACATTTGATGGTTCATTGCCAAGTGAAATGGTGGAATGTCAGTTAATAAAATCCTTTATTCATAGATGTAGCTTAACAATAAACTGGAAGTCAGAAATTCATTCAAATTAATGATAACAGCTGAGTCCATTTTCTGGCTGGTTCATGTAGCCCATCAGAACAGCCCAGACTGATAAAAAAGCGTAAATACGCAAGCCTAGTTTTGAGAAGCACTTGGGATTCCCACAACTTCATTTTTTGTTTAAAGGTTTTTTTTTTTAAGAAACTTTTTTTAGCTCTTTAGTTTTACTGCAAGTGGTTCTCTCTATAACTGACTCTGTGTACCACCTGTGAAATTGAAAAACTGATCCACAGTCTGTTTGTAAAGAGCTGCAATGTTAGTGCTGTGCTGTGGAATCTCAGCCAAAGAGTGGAATCATCCCCTCAAGCTAAATCTAGAAGCAAAGGTTCAAAACCCAGTATTGGCAGTAGATAGCCATATCTAAAAGAAAATATAAATGCTTGGATATGAACACTGAGAATACTGATGTCTAAGGTACAGATTTAAAAGGTTGGACCAAGAGGTAATTTCTATAGGAAAAGGGTTTTCCGTCCGTAGAATGGGACATTCTTTGGCACCTTCTTCTGCTGTAGCCCAAAATGCTCCCTGAAATGCTGCTTCTGGAGGACAGCATAAGTAGCAAATTGGGGGTCTCTAAGGGGTGAAAATGCCCCCCTTCTGTTGGTAGAAATAAACCACTGGATCCAAAGCATAGTTTCTGAGCTGTAAAATGTTTGTGATTCAATTGGCACTCAATACATCTGTTTTGAAAGCGTGTCCCATTGATTTTAGCTGAGCTTTAGATAAGGCAGCCTAGGACTTTTTGGGGGCAGGGGGCTTCTCCAGTCCCTTACAACCAGTAAAAGACTCAAGTACATGACAGAGTTGAGGTGAATAAATGATACACTAAAGTCACACTTTTTTTCTTGACCACAAAAATGTTGCATATTAATATTAAATATCGGAGTTCATTAGTGTGGTTCAGGCTGTAGCCACACAATATGCAGCAATCATCCTGGGTTTACAGGTGGTATTTGTTTTGGCAGGATTAAAGAACCATTAAGTGTCTTTCAAGCTCTCAAAATTATGTTCAAACAGTGTATCTAATGCATGGAGAAAAGAAATAAGCTTTCCTTCTTTGTACGTACTAGTAAATAAGAGTTTTTCACCAGAAATGAAGCAAGTGAGGAAAGAGGCTTCATGTTTGATTGCAATAATGTATGCTAAAGAACTATTATGTTGATTTTTGCATAGTAAGCATTACTTTAAATACTGAAATGTAATTAGAGTGTATAAAAAGTGTATATAATGACCAACTAGTATTCCAGCACTGGTTTATGTGAAAAATATAAAGCACAAGAAGACAATTTAGTTTCTTGTTTTAATTTAGGAACAAAATTGCTATTAAGTTTAAGTTGCAATTGGACTTTTGATATATATTTATATACAGCAGGATCTTACAAGATGCTGACTTTCTATAAGATAGGTTTTCAGTGCTATGAAACATTTTTTGCAGAAATTCTCATGGCAAGGAGGCACCTTCTCAGCAGTCTTCACTGTATATACACCAGCCCTTTGTATCTGCTGGTTTTTAAATTCTATCTTATAGAATCTAACCATGAAAATTAGTGGGTTTGGAATTTGTTCTAATGTAAAATGTTGTCTTTGAAAATTGCTGAAAATATTGTATATCTTATGATTACAAATGTACTGTGAAGAGTATGGAATTTTAATTTCAATAGCAAAAGCATATTACCTTGGTTACTGTGCTGTTAAAATGTTTTAGTAGTGAAATTTATGATCACATACTAGAATAGATTGAATAAAACATTTTTTACATTCTTTAAGCGTGTGATGTCCATTCATCAGTTGTCAAATACAGAAAAGTATGTTAGGATTTAATTCTATCATCTGTTAAGTCAATACGTCATTTAAAGACTGAACCACATAGTGTCTGAATTATTATCTAAAAGCAATAGTTTAGAGCTAGGATTATATTTACTAGGATGTGAGAGAAGGGGTATCAACAACTGCTGTCTCTCTTCGTCGTACTTAGGACAATGGAGTAATATATGGGAGGCCGACTCCACCTGTTCTAACAAACAGGAGCAAATTCTCTGGTGCATAGGACATTGATTGTTGAATAGATGTTATCTGTTCATCAGGCAGCAGTGTTTTTGCACCTTTTGACACTGGCTTCTGTTTCCCTGTCTTTTTCAGTTCCCACAGATTACACTGCCACCAATATCACACTGGATCCACATCCAGTTAAATCCCCATTTGGTCACTAAGTCTGACCAGCATGAGCGTTACTACTGAAATGACAGGTTGCTCACCTGAAACTGGTACTTTTGTTGTGGAGATATGACGTCACTACTGCCATACATTTGGTGAATACCCGCAGGGCAGTTGATAGGCCTTGCACTGGTCATGTTTGTTCCCTTCGGCAAAACGAAGGTATCTTCTGTGCTGTGGACAGATTGACACGTGAAAATACCTTTTAAAGGTGATGCACAGAGACCACAAAGACAAACCATTAGTCTTATTTATTTATTTATTTATTATTTAGATTTTTATCCCGCCCTCCCCGTAGGCTCTTAGGGTTCTGAAGAACTGTGGAGGACACAGTGTTTATAAAATAAATTGAATAAGAACAAATGTTATTTTAAGAAACAGATAAAGTTCAGAACAGCCATTCACTTCTCTCACAATACTGGAGAAAAATGCAATATCAGTCAGAGAGAAAAAAGTTCAAAATATACAATAAACCTTCCTAATCCTATTACTAATATCTTTTTTTATTACCTCACTTTACAGAACCCTACCTATCTACCCTAGCCCTGCCTAAAAAGATCTAAAACTAATTGCCCTTCTGTCTTAACCTCCCTCTAATGTCTGTGTATAAAATCTCCTCCCTCAGTCACATCTTCTCATCCAATCAGAACACTTCACTCCCAGCTGTTTCTCAGTGAAAAAGAGTAAGAGTCCAGGAGCACCTAAAAAGTAACAAATTTTGTGGTTCTCTTTTCTACTGCTACAGACAGACTAACACAGCTACTCATCTTGTTCTTTCTTTTTGGTTCTTCTACTCTGTCACTCCACACAGACACACTTTCCCCCCCTCCCTGCTAACTTCCTTAACCCTGCCACCTATCAAGAATATCTACACAAACATTTTATGGCATTGTCTACAGATGTCATGTGCATTATGTCCCAGTGCCAGATAACGTTTCTGAGTTGTCGGGCAGTCCCATTTATGTATAAGATCCATATAAATAGAAAATCTATCCCATGTAAAGTATGTCACTATAAATTCTAACCCTAGGATTACTGTGGCCTGGTTCTGTGAGGCTAGGTTGACTGGATCAAGGTAGGGAACCAACCTCCATAAGTGGAGGAGTGGGAAATCAAACCCGGTTCTCTCAGATTAGAGTCCGTGCACTTTACCAATACACCAAACTGGCTGCTTTTCTACAGATGACATCTCCAGAGCCCTTGCCATTTTTGGACAAACAACCAGTTTGGACAAACTGAAGTGTCCACTGCTGGGATTAGAAACAACTTGGACATTTTGGGAGGAAAGACATATGGTCCTTGGTGTGACCTATGTGAAGCTGCTGGCTGGATTGACCCACTTTTCCTTGACATCCATAGTGAAAAATAAGAAAAGGTAAAGGTTCCCTTGCTCGAAAGCCAGTCGAATCCGACTCTAGGGTTTCGGTGCTCATCTCCGTTTCAAAGCTGAAGAGCCGGCGCTGTCCGAAGATGTTTCCGTGGTCATGTGGGCGGCATGACTAAACACCAAGGCGCACGGAATGCTGTTACCTTCCCACTGAAGTGGTACCTATTTATCTACTTGCAATTTCTTGCTTTCGAACTGCTAGGGGAAAGGAAATATAGACCCCACTGTTTAGATCTGGAAATAAGCATGGGGCCAGGAGAACCTCAGCATTCCCCTCATCCCTTTGCCCCTCATAAGGATTCCTAGATGATTCTTAGGCAGAGGGCATAAGAATCCTCAGTGTACCGAGACAGAAAATGGAATTGGCCTGAGAGAACAAGGTAGCTGTTGGTTGTGTAGAGATGGAAGTCATCATTGGACACCTCCCCTTCCTTGTCCGTTTCTGAATCCAACTCACTGATATATATCTTATTGAGGCAGGTTCATAATTCCTGGTCATATGACAGGGAAATGAAGAATAAAAAAGAGATTATGGGGCCCTGCCTTGCCATCATAGGGGGAAAAAGGAGATGACGCTTGTCTTCCCAATGGCCTTACTGTGAAGAAGGAGGAGTTGGTTTTTATACCCCACTCTTCACTACCTGAAGGAGTCTCAGAGCAGCTTACAATCACTTTACTTTCCTCTCCCTACAACATACACACCCTGTGAGGTAAGTGTCAGAACCCACAGCCAACAACGAAGTACACACATTCAGGAACGGTAATACTTTTATTGCAGAGCTATAGATGCAGTAACATAAGCACTGTTAAGAATGGCGGCGGCCCCATGGGCATAATAGGATATATAGGGTATTTGTATGCAACCCTCCCCCCAGCCAATTAGGCACTCTCCCGCACGCGGGATAAAGCTTGGAGACCATTAGGTAGCTAAAGCTGAGAACCAACACTCTCCCACGGCACCTAGGAATAATCCAGACAATACAACTTCCTCCTGCACATCTGTATAGATAAGCATTTCGATGCAAAGCAGAAAAAGCACAGAAAGGAATGCAGTAGCAGTTAACCAGACACAGACCGAGCTACCCAACCCCCATGGCAGGGTAGCTGACATACTGCCCTCTCTAAAATCAGCTCCCGACCGTTCCGGGAGGTCTCCCGGTTTGTCTGGGAAGTCGCGATGGAACTGTCGCAACAGTCCAGGGGCCTGAATATCCCCTACTTCCACCCATTCGAGGTGCTGGGGTCCGAAATCCACCCACTCAACCAAATACATCAACTTTCCCCGTTTGATCTTAGAGTCCAGAATCTTAGATATCTCATAATGCTCCTCGCCCTCAATCATGATAGGAGGGGGCACCAGTTTCGATGGACGCCAGGGGCTGGAACCCGAATCTCTCTTCAGGAGGCTAAAATAAAATACAGAATGCAATTTTCTCAAATTTTTTGGAAGTCCAAATGTACAGCAACATCATTGATGATCCTTTTAACCTTAAACAGCCCAATGTATTTCCAACCCAACTTCCGACTTGGCCGTAACATCTTGATATTTTTAGTAGAAACATACACAGAGTCACCAGGCTGTAGAGCCCAACCCTCCACCCTTCTCTTATCAGCCTGCGCTTTATACACTTCTTTGGCAGCTGTCAAAGTCTTACACAGGAGAGGCCAAGAGTCCCGCAATTGTTTACACCATTGAGCAGCATCCCCCGGCCCCATGTCCGTATCCCCTTCCAGAAATGGGACAGGTGGGCTGTCATAACCATACAGCGCCTTAAACGGGGACGTCCCCGTGGAAGAGTGATAAGTATTATTATAATAGAATTCAGCTAGGGGCAACAAGTCATTCCAATTGTCCTGTTGATAGTTGGCAAAACAACGCAGATATTGTTCCAAAGTCTGATTAACTCTTTTTGTCTGGCTGTCGGTTTCCGGATGGTAAGCGCTGCTAAGGCCTTGTTCCACTCCCATTAGTTTCATCAGCTCCTCCCAGAACTGGGAGATGGACTGGGTCCCCTGGTCGGAGACCACCTTGGTGGGGAGCATGTGCAACCTCACCATGTGCAGGAGGGGCTGAGAGAGCTCTGAGAGAACTGTGACTGACCCAAGGTCACCCAGCTGGCTTCATGTGGAGGAGTGGGGAATCAAACCCAGTTCTCCAGATTAGAGTCCACCGCTCTTAACCACTACACCGCACTGGCTCTTACTAGCTTACTCACGCTATCTTACTGCTTTTTGGAGGCATGGGGACAAAGATAGATCACTGCTGCCACTTCAAAGCTAGTCCCCCCCCCCTTTTCATTTCTTTAGCCATAAACTGTTCCCTCCAAGCCTGTAGTTCAGGTGGGACTGAGAAGGCACTAACGGGAGACATCCCTTCAAGTGCAACCACCACTATTGCAATTGTCTCACTGTGCTGCCTTCTGTAGCTGCTGAGGCTCCAGAAGAAGACATGCCATTGTAGTTGTCCCTGCTTGTGCTGTGCTGGCCCAGGCAGTCACCCTGCGCCTGTTCAGGCCGCTGAACTATGCCTGTGCTTTGGTGCCAGAATGGATCTGGCCTGCCTTCCTCACCCTCTGACTCAGTCAGAGCTATCTGGGTTTCTTCCCTCACAGCTGCTGCAGAGGAGTGGCTGGCTGCAACAGCATGTTTGGTGTACTGGTTAAGTGGGCAGACTCTAATCTGGGAGAATTGGGTTTGTTTCCCCACTCCTCCACTTGCAGCTGCTGGATAACCTTGGGCAAGCCACAGTTCTCTCAGAGCTGTTCTCTCAAGGACAGTTCTGGAAAGAGCTCTCTCAGCCCCACCTACCTTGTAGGGTGTCTGTTGTGGGGAGGGGAAGGGAAAGGAGCTTGTAAGCTGCTCTGAGACTCCAAGTGAAGGGTGGGGTATAAATCCAATCTCCTCCTCATCATCATCC